ACTCCCCACCCTAACTGCCCCCCCCGGACCCCTTACCATGAGGCTCCTAGCAGCATGTTTGGCTCCGCACAGAGCCAGACATGCTGCCTCGCAGGACCGGGCAGCCCCGTCCCTCAGAGCACTGTTCGTGCGGCGGCATGGCTCCAGGGGAGGGGGGAGCGTGTCTGCCTCCCCACGGAGCCAAACACTGCCCTGCGAGAGTGCGCAGCCCCGGCCCCCAGAGCGCTGCGCGCTCGGCGGCATGGCTCCAGGGGAAGGGGGAAGGCAGGGGAGGGGCCGGCGACTTGCTGTGCTCGGCCGGGAGAGTGGGGCCATTTCCCCACCCCTGCATTAGGGTGTGCCTGGGCACACCCGGCACACCCCATGCGCATGCCTATGCCCGTGCCCTGCCATACTCCAGTGATCAGTGTATAAGAACTGCTCTTACATGTATTACAGTAGTGCCTAGGGGCACCAGCTGAGATCAGGGCTCTGGTGTGCTTGGCATTAAAGAGTTTGCAGCCCAAAAAGACAAGACTGCTAAAAAGATGGAGAAATTTCGATTTTTCAAAAGAGGACCTCAGGCAGCTGGGGGAATTGAATGCAGATCTTCCAGATCCTAGTCTAGTGTCTTAACCACAAGCTTGTTCAATGTGGCTATATGGTTTTCAACCTTACAGCAAAATTAACTTTCCCTGTTTTTTTCCAAAGTCTCTTTAGTTTGCAACAGTGCATTTCACTTAATACTTAAAGCAAAGTTTCTTTTCCATCAGCTGCTCTCATAAATGGAAGTTTGAGTCTTATTCTTTCATCACTGCTCTGGCTTCCTCTTTTTCAGGTATTAGTCCATGGAGGTTTGGCTTTTGTGGTGGTTTGCAGTTCTCTATTCCTCTGGTTTCTCTGCTGCAATCACTCTAGTTCAGGGGTAGTCAGTAGGCGGACTGTGGGCCAAACCCAGACTGCCAGATGCTTTTGAAAGGACCCTAAAATCTTTTTATTTACTTATTAATATCATCATTATTGTTTTTTTCTTCTCTGGAGCCTGGACCTTGACTATACCTTAACCGAGAAATTTGGACCTTGACAAAAAATAATTGACTACCCTGGCTCTAGTTCATCCCACTTTCCACAAACACTCGTGATGCTTCCCAGTGATGTTTCAAAAATGGAGAGACAGAAGGAAAGTCAGCGTCTGATCAGACCACATGAGGTAACACTGAATCCGGTGTTGAGAGAGAGCCAGATGTGAATGGAAGTTCTCAGGGGCAGGCAGGCAGGGCAATTAGGAAACAATGCAACTACTGAAAACTATTCAGCAATCAGTCAGAGATGCGTTCAAAGAGAGACGTGGCCTTCACTCAGATTCCCATAAGTTTTCCTTTTACTCAACTGACTTTTTTTGCTGGGCCTCCAAACACATCGGTAGCTAAAATATAAAGATGAACAAAAATACAACAGCAGGCTTGAGATATATTGTATGAATAATGCTGAGCAGCTTTCTGTCTTCAAGACACTTTACAAACATTAAGAAATAGTCACAACACCCTGTGACATGATTATTTTCTCCATTTGACAGATGGCAAAATTGTGAGAGTGGTTTAGTAGCTGGTTGAAAGAGAAGTCACTGCCAAAGCTGTGATTAAAACTCAGGAGTTCCTGGCTCAGACAACACAAGACCCCCTCTCTTCAAATATTATTCAGTCAGGATATGCCCAGGCTGCTAAATACTGTATTCTGGAAAACAGGAATGCACACCTAACATCTTTTCCAACTGACCCTGGTCAACAACCCGGATGAGAAAATGTAAAAGACAAAACATGCACCTGGAATCTCTTTACCGACTTTTGAAATAATAAAAGCTGTACCTCTAGCTAGGCCAACTCACTGATATTCCCATGTAAGAACTGGTATATTGTGCCCCTGTGGCATATTTTGTTATCCCGTCCTCCCCCAATGCTGCCTGTTACTATCTGGTGTGATATGTCTCAGCAGGACACGTCCACGGTTGTGTGGTTCCGAGATGTATTTATTTTTGGGGGGGGAGGGTTAAGTGAATTCCATGTTGATAAACGTCTCCCCATTGACAGGAACTCCTTGTAGGGCTAAGAGGGGAGTTTAGCCTCCACAGCCCATTCAGCCTTTGGCCTTTCTGCGGAGACTGCCACCAAGGGAGAGTGAGGGTTGGTGCTGCAGACACCTGTCTTCCAGTGAATGTGCTGGAACCCAGTTCTCACAAGGTACCATCAGATGCATGGGTGTAACTGCGGCAAAAAGTGGGAAGGAGTGTCTGGATAAAAGCACTAGACCTGCAGCTGCATTGAAAGGGAAACCAAGTGTATAGCAGAAAGGTGAGTGGGGAGGACAGTCCATTGTCAACCCCTCAATGGTTGGACTTATGATCAGGAGATAATAAATCTAGTTGACCCGCTCAAATCTGTCCCAGGATAGCTGTAAACAACAGTTAATAATAATATAACTGTTATAATAATATAACAGATCCTGGGACAGCTCTGAGCTGATGAACTAGAGGCGAAAGGATCTGTATCTCATTTATCAGTAGTCAAAGCCATTACCCCACCAGAAAATGTTCATGTCTTTGAATCAAGACTGGAGATCTTTCTAAAAATACCAAAAAAAGGCAACACTCTAGCTCAACCACAAGTTATAGGCTGGTTACAGGAAACACTGGGTGAGGTTCTATGGCCTGTGTTATGCAGGAGACCAGACTAGATGCTCACAATGATTCCTTTTGGCCTTAAAACCCATAAGCTAATCGCTGGTGCAGAAAATGTGCTTTAGAAAAACAGGGCTGAGTTTGGATTAGATTCTACTAATCCTGCTACCTTTGTATTTCTGGTGAAACCTTTCTCCCCAGCACATGTAGAATGAGAGAGCAGAATATTTAGAGCCTATATTTCTCCCAGAGCCTGTTAATGCAGCAGGGTTATCAGTCTGTTTAGGTTATGTGGGTATAATTTATCCAGATAATTCAATAGCCATCCTTGATTTATGACCACTGCTTTGTGTGATTCTTCCTGGGGGTACCCAGGGCTGTGAGGCACCTTGCAATCATCTGCCCTTAGCATGGGGAAGCCTTTTCTGTGCCCGCTGGGGGTCAGCTCCCCAACTCCACTGGCGATGGGCAACATAATCGCTCCCCTCTAAGCCTTGCAGGCCCTGCTGTCATTCTGCAGGTTAGCAATAGGCACACTCCAACCTCTGAGCATCTCCCTGGAGTGACTAGCCCCTGCACCACTCACAGTATTCACAGATTTGCTGCTTCCAAAGAAATGGTGCAAGCCAGCTTACCAGTCCCACTTCAGAGCACCACTCCGCTGAACACACAGCACTGAGATTTGTTCATAGTTAAATCAAATACAAGTTTATTTAACAACGCATAACTATTCGAGTAGAAGCAAGTAGAAATATTGGAAACAATGGTTCCATAAAGAATAAAATCATAGCATGCATTCTAGAGCCTAGACTTAATTAACAAGATACTCTCATGGTTAGTAGAGTATTGCTCCTCTAAAAATCCTTGCAGCACTTTGCAGCCAGGCTGGCTATCACCCCTCCCTTGCACGAGATATGTATGCTGTCAGTTTGCCTCCAAGGTGAAGGTTTCAGTGTGTCCCTTTGCACACCAAGATATACCCAAAACAATCCTTTGTCTTTATTCATAAGCAGGAAACTCTCCTTTTGTTTTTTCTTCCTGTAGATTTCCTCTCTTGTAGATTTTTACAGTCTCTTAGGCCTTGGCTACACTTACCCGCTAGTTCGGCGGCTGGCAATCCAACTTCTGGGTTCGACTTTTCTCGTCTAGTCTTGGCGCGGGAAAGTGAAAC